TCTGAGAATGAGAATTTTCCGGCCTCGGCCAAGCCTACGGGCTGCACCTAGATTTTTCAAGTAACTCTTCCAGTTAATCTAACTTTTTTGAATTTTCAGCCACAAGAAGAACTCAATCGTAACGAAATGCCTATGAATGAAAATGCAAGATATGGAGAAAACGGTGAAGGTGAAGTTGGTGTGGAAAACGATGAGGATGACGAGTGGTCGCAAGCACAATTTGCTCAGAATAACAGCTTATTGAATCTCGAGGTGAGTAAAAACTGTGAATGCAGACTATATATCCAATTATGAGAATTTCAGCCCAGTGAACATCAAGAACGCAATGAGACAGCGGAGATCGGAAATGATGGTATGAATGACTGGCCGCTTGAAATTCTTGCACGAACGTTCCGAGTTGAACTAAACGTAAGTTGGAGTGAAGCTCTTGATGATTCTGAAAATTTATTATTCAGGTCCTAGAAATGGCCATTGAACTGGAAGCGGTCGTCGAACAATTTGAAGCTAATGAATTCGAAAACGAGGAGTTCTGAGCAGTTCACGAAGTTTTCCTCTATTTTTCCTAAGAAAATTTTTGATTCTTCCTATGTCTTTTTTGTTGTTTATCTTATGTTTGTCTAATGTGTCCAGTTTTTTAACGGCTTTTAAATTTCAATTGAAATTCGAATATTTTTTACGGCTCTGAATCTTTTTTCTAATTACAAATATTTTTCAAATGGCTTTTCAACTTAAGCAATTTCACAAAATACGCCAATGATATTCAATAATATCTTTGTATAATACCTCATCAAACAGATATACTTGCCAATAGCGGAAACATCGAATAATTGATATCTTTCGTTTCTCTGTGTTCTTTAAAATGAGAGCGGAAGTGTATGGGTGGTCTAAAAACTCTTGGGCAGTTGAATAGCATGGAGATATATCGTTGAGCATGAGTTTAAACGTACATAGTAGCGATCAATATGACATTCAAATACGTATTTTTTTGTTTTTTTTTTTGCCCTTTTGACCATTTTCAGGAGTTGGAAGCTGGACTGCCAAGTTTCTGAACACTTTGATATGTTTGGAAAATGAAAAACAGGCCTAGATTGAAAGTTCACAGAATTTCTTTAAAATTTCTAGAATTCTAACTACTTGCCGATTTCTGTAAGACACCTTTTTTGACTCTTGTTGGACAGAAAACGTGTAAAAAGTAAATCTCTTCCAGAAATCTGCAAATAGATGGAAAATTAAAAATTTTCAAAAAATTTTACGAATTCAAAGTTTTTTAATTTAGTACTGTTTTACACCCTCCAAAATTTTCAAAATGATCGGATACTTGAAAGCAGAGCTATTCATCCCTTCTAAAAATGCCCAAAATCAACTGAAAATTACTCGCCCTACTAGTATTTTATTTATTCCGCTCACTTTAGAATGATTTACTAGGAAAGCGCTTCTATTGAAGTTTGGACCCCAAATCGTACATAGGTGCTTTCTTCGCGCAACAGCAACCCGTGTTCTAAGCGAGAGGCCTCGAACATCTACCAAAACGTTAGTAGCATGTGATGGACCATAATGAACAACATATTACTTACTGAAATATTCCTCAAGTTGAATAAAGTTTTGTTGAAGAAATCTCAAAAAATGTAGAAAACTTTTGGAACAACCTAACATTTGACCATTAAAATAAAATGCTAACAAAGCTAGACAAACAAAGTTAATATCTCATTTGGTGGCAACAGGTCTCTTGTAGATTAAGATAACTTTGATCTCATCGTCGTATTTGATTCCCAGATCATTTGGAGTCTCCGTTCCTTCTATCACAATCCCATTAAACGTGAAGCTGAAACTTTGAAATTTATCTTCATTTGAAAAAAAAATGCCTATTACCATAGGTGTTCACGTGGCCTTCCCAAATCGTTAGCAGTTCGGATCAAAAGTTTCGCGATCGATAGATCAGGATGAAACAAGTATCTCTCAGCGAAGTTCTGGCAAAAAGGAGATTTCAAATGTTTTTCTTCTTTTTCTTGATTCTCACATCTAATAGGCACGTGATTCAGAAGGTAAGATAGACCTTCTTTCTTCTAATAGAAGCTTATGGGCTTCTATTTTTGGACCTGTTTCTCAGGGTGGGCTATTATATTTCAACAATTTACTGGGTAGCTCATAAGTATGGAGACTTTTTTGCATGGGCTTGCTGGCACAGTGCCAAGACCGATTTTTGTAAACTTTCGATATCTTTCGAAAGTAAGGGATGTATATAAGATGTATATAAAATATTTCAATAATCTTTTGTCCTCTTCTTTGTTGGGCTTCAAATATAGGTGGGCTTCTATTAGAGGAAATACGGTAATCGGAAATATACTAGATGCAAAACAATTTAAGGGCGCAAAGTACACAATTTGGAGGTTAGAAATGCAACTTTTTCTGGAGTTTTGTACCCCGCATTGAAGATTTATTATCTCTAAATTGCTTTGTCCCTCATTGACTTCAACTTTTTCCTGCCCTCCTAATTAGTTGCCATCTTATGAGAAGATAAAAAATAACCAACTCACCCCCAGTCCTCCGACATTTATGATAATTCGATTGAATGGATCAGTGAGAGGGGGTACTAGTATAGCCATTGACTTGGATAGAAAAACAATAGAACTGTCGACCGATGCTTGAATGGAGGGCTTGAAAAAAACGGAATGATGATAATCGAATAGAAATGTTTATGCGTTTCTCGCTTTTTGATATTTTTCCTCCTTTCCCATTTTTTGATGGGAACCATTTCGCAAGTGGGTGGTCAGGGATGTCTGAAACGGGAGGATGAGTCACGCGAGAGATTGATAATCATCGATTCCTGAAAAACAAAGCTTACGGTCCACAGGCGGAAAAAAAACAACAAAATAAACACTGATCTCAGAAAAATTTTTTCGGATATCCATATTTGAATGCTGATGTGTCAAATTTCTATGAAGTGAAAAATTGAGGGCCCGAATGTGAACAAAAGAAGTGGCAAAATGAAAATTTCCCGTTTTACTGATTAAACGGATAAAATTAATATTACATACATTTCTAGTTTGAAATAGCTTGAAATGATAAAGGGATGAGAACCAAAAAAATTTAATACAGTATCTGGACCACGAAGGTTATTCCATTGTTTGGAATTTTGGTCAACGCTACCGTTTTGTCATCAGGGAGATAATCGATTTCGTTTACACTGGAAAAACTGAAAAAAAGAAAAAAAATATTCACCTGAAAATTATAAATTAACGAAAAACGGTCCGAAGGGATTTCAACGGCTCTGGAATATCTTCGCTTCACGCTGATGAGCAAACTATTGAGTTTAACCCGAACACGAATTTCTTAAATTCCAGTTGAAAATTCTAGGTCACTTCTAGAAAAGTGGGCAGTTTCATCATCGTGGCCTAACTTCAGCAAGTTGAGTTTTTTAAGCCACCAACATCGAGAGTCCAAACATTTTCAATTGAAAGACCTGAAACTAGTGAAAAAATGTGATGTCTAAGAAACGAATAAATATGTTCAAAGAAGTGGTTTGTTTGTTTGAACAATTTTCAAACACGTGATTTGTTTTGGTTTCTTGAGAATAAAGATAACGATTTCAAACGAACGTTAAATCAAAAAGTTTATGAAGTACGGCAGTTACAAATGGTCAATTATTCGGAGTCGGACGGATTTCTGATAAATTGAGAAGATTACTTGTTTATTTTGTTTCCGCTGTTCCCAGTCGATGGTCTCCTGAAAAAATAGATAAATACTATGACGCGGTTAGAGTACTAACACATTGCGAGTTGATTTTCTCCCACTAGCATACGGAGTGGCTTGCTCTCTTTGCCTTGGTGATCTGCGACGCGTACTCATCGGAGTTGGTTCTTCTTTGTCTTCAGATTCGTCATCACAATCGCATAGAACAGGAACACATGGACCAGGAAACCGACTAATCATGGAATCAGTTATCTCTTTGATAACCGCGCGATTTTCTTCCTGCTCGTGAACAAGAAAAGTGCAGATTTCCATTGCCAAGTTTGTCATGCGAGTTTGATGTTCCATCATTTCTTGACGAAACTTTTCATGTTGTTGGCTCTGATTTTCTAGTAGCAGTTTCACCTAAATATATAACTATATAACAGTATAAAGCATTTAAAAAATTGTACATTTTGTGCTCTTACCGTATCCTGCAATGAGTTGCTGTTTGTTTGCATTCACAACTGCATTCAAGGTTCCCCCATTTGGGTTCCCATTTAATGGCATTATCCCTGCCATCACACCATTCTGGATTCCAAGTTGATAAACACCGGTCAGAGTGTTCTGTATATATCTATTAATAATGATTACGTTTTCCCCAGAAAGCAACTACCTGTGCCGCTTGCATCAAGAAGTTGTTCATTTGTACTTGATCTCCAATTGGAGCATTGTTCATTGCTTCCAAGTTCAAAGGAAGATTGTTCATGATATCTGAAAAAAGAATACACTTAAAATGCGTGATCTAATAGAAAAGAAAGAACATCAGTCATTGAAAAATGATAAATCTATTGGTGAGAGAATGAGTTAGGTTACGATGGAGACACTTCTTGAGATAAAGAAGAAAAATTCCAATACAGGTTCTTTTTCTCGAAGTAAGGCGGTGAAATGCTAGAAAGTACATGATATAAACAGATGGAAAAGAAAAGATTGGCATGCGGCCGTTTGTTCGTTGTTGGCTATCTTCTTACTTTCGATTGATGGAAGTTTTGAAACAATTAGTGACGAATGACGTTGGGGTTCGCAGAATGATAAATAGAAAATTTGAAAACCAAAAATGTGACTGGAAGCTTCAGAAACCAAAGTAAACTCTTCATAACGAATATTCATAGTGGTGGATTCATAAAATTTCAGGCGGGGGTATTTTATATCTCTTTTAGACTATTAGACTTTGAAAATTTTCAAAAACGTAAAGATGCCAAAATGAAAACAGATTTTATGAAGTATTTACCTCTCTAACACAGAAGGATAGAGCCAGTTTCAAACTTCAAGCTGATTTATTTCGGGCCGTGTTAAAGATATGAAAAAGTTGTCAACAGATAAATTGTTCATCATAATATCATAGAAATTTTATCAGTTGAGATATTATGAGTAGGGTTTTTTATTACAGGATTTACAGAATCTGGGTTGCTGTGAAAGGTATTAAAAAGTGACAAACCAAAAAAAAAAGTTTGATATGTATTATTACAATTTTCAAAATTGATTATTTTTCAGTGGCTTAAAATTGACAGGTAGGGGATCCTGTATTACAGGTTTTGGGTTCATTATTATTACATATCACCTTGAGAACAAAATTAAGACTGACTTTGAAATTGAAACATTTTTTTTCAATTGAAATCAAATCATTCCATCTCATAATTTCTTGTTTGTTTCATTCTTATTTCGGTTTGCATCCTCTGGTAAGAATGATAAACAATAAAACTTTCTTGCAAAACCGAACATTTTACGATCTGTTTCCAATCCGTCCTCTCTATTTCCTAATTTTTTTCCTATATATTCTCTTTTTCAAATTTCACTTTCTCATTTTTCATGTCCAGATTAGAAGAAATCTCGAAGTTCATTTTTGTAAAGTCCAGTTCGAAGATAGCATGAGATGCAATGAATTAACACTGTAAAGCCCCAAAATGCGTATTCTTATAGTGCTGGAATCTATTGAGAGTCTTTCTTCCATAAAAGTGATTCTTTGAACTTTTTTTTCCTTCATTACTACATCATCATTACTGCTTCATCCAACTTCACCTAACTGCTGTTATTTGATTCTTTTTTATTTTTTTTCCTTTTTCATTATACAGTCACTGTTTGCGTCTTCAGAAAGAAGATAATGAAGATAAGATGAATTTGGAAGTAAAAAAAATTATCAATTCGTAATTGATAAGTTTTCTTTCATTACTTGTGTCCTAACGCTTGAAAAAATAGGAAGTGAGAGTTATCGAAAATACAAATTTCGATAAAAAGATGTCATGGGAACAATCGCAATTATTCAAAAACGTCAAAAGTAATCGAATGTTGAAAGGAAGGTTTCGAACGGTTATTTTTCCGATGAAGATGCAGGTACCGTAGAATGTGTGAGAAGGGACCATTCGTCGAAAAGCCCCTCAAATAAAAGAGCTTCTATGAGAGTGACTTGGAAAATATAAGTTTTTTCTGTAATAGAGAGGTTTCCTCAAAGCTAACTGTGTTGTTTGAAATCTAAATTGTTTGTACGGTAAAATTATTCTAAAAACGCCTCAATTTTACTAAAATTTGTTGGAGCGCTCTATTTTTCTTGAAAACGCTCGCTTTTAGTAAAAATTAAAAAAAGTTTTTATGAATTCAGAAGGAGAATTCATAGTTTTTGTAATGATATTTTTAGAAGCCCCGCCCGAAAAAATGGAAAAGCCTCCTTCAATTGAATTGTCATCCGGAGTGATTTAGACCTACAGAGCCAAACATTTTCAAGCCAATTTGATCTTGCCCTTTGGGAAACCTTTTTCTGGGGGGAAAAACGCGTTA